TAAAAAAAAAAATACCTTAAAGTAACTACAAATGAGCATGTAAAGCAAATATCTTTAAAAGAAATTCCGTGTGGAGCATGCCACAGATCCATTGCAATGTTCTCACCTTTTTCCCCCTTACCTGTTTGCATCTCTGTATAATGCTTATTTTAGGTTCCAGACGTTTAAATACACATAAGTACTAGCAAAACAATACATTTATAGTTTGTAAAATGCATGCTGATGTCTATGGAAGTGGCATTAATGATCCTTACAAATATAATCTGACGACATGTTTTATCATATATCATATACACATTGCTTTGGTACCGAAATTGGTACCGAGAACCGTGGATTTGGTACCGAATACTGACATTTTGGTACCGTGACAACACTACTGTGTAGGTAACTGTAAAGTGTACTTTGCTCTTCTCCCAGTTCACCGGAGACTTACTTTAGTGTCTTTCGGGAGGACAGAATGAATTCAAGTGTTGTAAATCCCACAGCTCGCATTCAGAGCAAACTAACATCACCCGGTAAAGATCAACTAACGCGGTCATTATAGAAGTGTTTAAACAACCAAATACATTTACTTGCACGTGTTTCAGAATCGGAATATCAGATATTTAATAATATAGTGAGCACGTTTGTGAATATTAATAATAAAAAAAGGAAAAATGAAATAAAAGCGATACATCTGACATACAGCGCTGTTGTGACTGCGGTGTGTCACATGACAAACATGACGCGTCGCCATGGAAACAATAAGGCCATACGTTCTGAAATAATGGCCACCTAAAAAAACTCACCCTATTTGTGAGCCGTGCTGGAAAAATGAGTGTGAATACGCACGGTCTAATTTTAAACTACAGGCAAAAGAAGTGAAAATGTCGTATTTGAGGTTTTCACAAAAATGAGTTAATTAAGCCCTCATCTAGCGATCCCAATGCTCCAAATAGTAATTAACTTATTCAAGTGTTGATAAAAAAATAATGCTTTAAGCTAGAATAAAATGGATTTTTTTGTTTAAAAGTAGAGGCTCTGATCTTTATTTTGATGTATTGTATTTTCAAATATTCTTACAGCAAAATATACTGGAGGCCATCAAATTTTAGTGAAAATCATCAAAATTGCTGGCAGTGGCTGGCAGCTTTTTTAAAAAATGATGGCGGGGAAAGAGTTAAACATCTAAAATGTTCTTAATTTGTATGTTTTCTGAGAGGAGTACCTTTTTCTCTGCTCAGTTGTAGGTGTATTGTTGCAAAGCGCAGCATTCCAGCTTTGTGAACATTCAGATTGAATTCTCGATGACATGAGTCCAAACCAGTGAAATATGATTTTCAAACCCATGCTGATGAAAACAAAACGATCACGCTGACTGACGTTTGTAAAGCACGCGTGCGATCTCCCTATAAAGCACGTTATTGCGAAATATGTCTTGGCGAGATTCACACAAACATAATCTGTTATGTTTTACATGACGTTTAGTTAATGGTTGGGGAAAAATCTGATGTGCAACATTATATTAGATCCATGCATTACAGTAGGTCTCAATATAGATCTGTCTTAATGTTAATCAAACATTCGGAATCACTCACTGCTCTTGTTTAAACTACTGTTTATTTGCATCTTTGTTCTTATTTTTAATAACAAAGATAAAATAAAAAATAGCTATATTGTGATTAATAATATAGTAATTATTATTAAGAAAAGAATGAGAGGAAAATATGCAACGTTGCTTGGTGATTTTGCTTTTGAATCTTCAGAAAACTTGAACGTGATTTCTCTCTAAATCAGATCTGCTGACTCTATCGCCTTCAAACGGCTGTAGCTCAGGCCTTTTTAGTCATATATCATTTTGAAGATATTTTAATGGAGAATGTGAAAATAAAAATAACTCATTTTTGGAAATTTGCTCATTCCGACTCATTTTGCCAGCACGGCTCACGTGTTAAAGGGTTAAGGTTTGCTATGAAAATGTTGTGACAATAATGTCACAATGCATAAAAAGTCCTAATGGTCAGATTTATCTTTCACAAGAGTTTCCTGATGCACAATCTATTATTTTTCACTGAAATGTTCTTGCGCGTGTTTGTGAGCTTCTCCTCCGTGTCTGTTAAGGGTTTCGTCAGTTCTGTTCGGGCCGTTGATGGCGTCAGATGGACGAGCTTGGGATTCTTGAGCTGAGAATGCTGGGATGTTTTCCACATCTTCATCAACATTCCTGTGTGCAAATATCCGTGTTACGCAAGACATCGATCTGGCCTTGGTTCCTATCGCATTACAGCATTCTGACCGAATTTGTGTGTGTGTGTGTGCGTGCGTGCGTGCGTGCGTGCGTGTGTGCGCGTATGTGTGTGCGTGTGCTTGTGTGTGTGTGTGTGTGTGAGAGTGTGTGCGTGTGTGTGTATAAAGTGTATAAGTTCACAAAATAAACGTCATAAAAGCATCCAGTCAGGTTATGACGTATGCTTTTGTTCTGTATCTTTAGGTTTGGTGTTAATAATATCAGTGTGAATGCTAAATGTTCATCATTATTAAATGAGAATCAAGCGCACGTGAACATAGCATGGATGTATTGTCTTTCCAGAGCGGATATGAAAACTATATATATATTTACACACACACACTTTTTTTTCTCAATTTTCAGAATTTCACAAAGAAATGCATTGAATTAAAGATGACATTTTGGAGTAGAAAGCTTGAAGTAGTCTCTTATAAAATGTACTCCAATAATGTTTTATTTACAATTTTGAAAAATAAGTTTTTACAGTTTAATTAAAATCATTGTTTTTTTCCCCAATTTTTGGGTATTATATTTTCATTTGAAAATAATTCAGTTTTCCATTTTCGTATTATATTTTTATTTTTTCTATTATATCTGTTTCAGCGTGAGTTAAATTTGATACAACTCCTTCTACAATGATGTATACTTACAGTAATTATCATTTGGAATAAAAAAGTGCTTAATTGTCAATTACAGTAATGTCAAATTATTTTTCACAGGAATGTCTTGTATTTTTATTTTTCAGTTCTTTTTTTTTTTTTTAAGAATTTGAAAAAAAATATTTTTATAGTGTAATAAAAAAATTTTTTTCATTTTTTTGTTTTCTTATTATATTTTTATTTTTTCTGTTCTGTTATTTAAATAAGCATTTATTATGTGAAAAATCTTTTACACTAATAATGAAAAATATTTTTTTTTCGTTTTTTATTATATTTTTCTTTTTCCTTTTTTTTTAATTGGCGTGAATTAAAAAATAATTTTTTTACAGTGATAAAATTCCTTTTCTCATTTTTTAATTTTTTCTGTTTAAATTTTTTTTTTTAATTCAGTGTGATGGAAAAAAAACTTTTTTCAGGGGGGGGGGTTCTATTATGTTTTTATTTGTTTGTTGTTGTTTTTTAAAAACAGCATGATTTAAAATCGATACAACACATACTGCAATGATTCATACTTACAATAATTATCATTTGGGATAAAATGTGCTTAATTGCCAATCAAAATAATTTCAGAAATGATCTTTCACAGGAAAATCTTTATGCAAAATATAGTTTCTTTTTGAAATGTTCTTAACAGTTTTGATGAGATGGACCTCCGTATCCAGCCAATGAAAATCATTCTTTCTAGACACATTTCTAGCTCAGTATAAATAATGAGTATGTATGTTTTATTGCAGGCTCAGATTGCGTTCCTGCAGGGTGAGAGGAAAGGCCAGGAGAACCTGAAGAAGGATCTGGTGAGACGGATAAAGATGCTGGAATATGCTCTCAAACAGGAGCGGTCAGTAAAACACACACACACACCTTCATCATCCGAACATCATTCACGCGCGTCTGTGTGAACAGAGACATTATGTAGCCTGAGTGCAGAGAGCGAGGTTTATTTGATGATGAGTTCCCATGATTCCTGCATCAAGCTCAGCCTCCGTACCGCTCAGATTATACTCGTCCTTTGTAGGGGTGTGCGATATGGACAAAAAATTATATCACAGTATTTTCTGCGATTTGTACGATAATTACACAATATTTTGCTGAGTGTGTTATTGTGCTGGTATCTTAAACTGACTTCTAAAGTTTTTGATATTCTTCATATTCTGTGTGGTGATCAGTTCACAGCAGTGACAGAAATTAATCTTTTCCAATAGGTTTAAATTTATTTTTACCTAATTAATGGGCATTTTTACATGTATAAAGCTGTTTATTCTAAAAGTGTGCGTTATATTTTCAGTCAAATTCTTAAATTGAATCAGTCGATTAGAATATTATTATTTTTTTTTTTTTATTTAAAATTAAACAATAAAAAATAACATATTGGTTCCAAGCAATGTTGCAACTCGCTACATCAATATTGAATTCATCTGTGATAAATTATTTGTTTTTAGTCTTTTGTCTTTAAATCAAGAGAATGTCTATAAATAACTATTATTTTGTTAATCAATTAATTGATTGATTATTTCTCAGATTAACTAGATGAAAAAGCACAATTTTATTTTCTGTATTTATATTTTAAATAAATATCTGCTAGGGATGTAACAATATCAAAATCTCACAATACGATATTGTTGTGATATTGTTGTGATATTGTTATGATATGAAGTCCACGATACGATATTTATTGCGATATTTAAAAAGAAAAAAAAAGACATGAAGAATTGGGAAAAAATTAAAATGTTGTACATTTTAAAGTTAAATTATTCTATCTAATGCACTTTGAGAGTTAAAAATTAAGAGCTGCGACCCATGTTTGAGAAAACTTCAGTCAGAAGAAGTCAGTGAATTGACTTGTAACTGAACTTTAAAGGAGACTCAGCCCTCTTTTTATTTGTGATCTACTGTCTCAGTCTAAATTACACTCACACTGCTGTTTTAGGAAGATAAACTAATTATTATAATAATAATAATACCAGTAATAGCCATATATTGTAATAGTTTAAATTGATTTTTTTTTTTTATCTTTAATGGGCATTTTTACCTTTATAAAGCCCTTTTTTCTAAATATGTGCATCATCTTTTCAGTCAAATTCTTAAATTGAATCAGTCGATTAGAATAATAAGACATTTGGGCTGTTACCAAGCAAATTAAATCAGTATTTACAAAATTAATCTATATATATCGAATATATATTTTTTAAATTATTTAAAATTTAATAATTTAACAAAATGAACATATATTTAAAAAAAAATTAAATGTAATCAGTAAACAAATAAAATGCATATATACGTATTTTTAAAAAATTATTTAAACAATTTAAAAAATTAAATTAATATATTTTTCAAAAATA